TCAACTTAAAGCTGTGAAATTTTGTGTTAATCCGACGATAATAAGTATACGTTATTTTTTGTTAAAGACCTTGTATTTTGAAAAATATAAACTCCTAGAAAACGTCCATGAAGTAACAGCAAAGATTTTCAAGCTTGTTTATCGGCACAATCAATTTGTTTTCCCATCGAAGTTTGTTTTAACATGTGTAGGGACATCCAAATGTGTAAGGCTATTGGAAACCAAAAAAATAAAGGAATGGGATAGCTATAATTGGATAAAATCGGCAGATGAAAACACTAAAATCAATGATTTTTTTCAGTGGCTGTGTGACCTTGTGTCTGACACATTCATATGCAAATGACTAATCTGTGAAACAAATAGGGGCGGAGACAAACCACTCAAATGTTTGGAAACACTATTTGTGTGTCAGATAGCTACTGATAACACATCCTAACATTGCTTTGTCTTGAGTTTATCTTTGAAACTTATAGGCACACAGATTAAACCTGTGTTGTTGATTTTGGAAAACACTACTGAGGCTGCCTTGCTTCCCTTCAGAAAATCTACATTTTAACCAACTTACATGACATTCTATGTTATGTTGACTTTATCACATGAAAGTTTATAGTGCATTTCATCAATTAATAAATAAATATGAAAATCATAATTTTCAACACAAATAATAGTCTCGCTACCTTAACTTTAATAGTACCATATGTTTACATGGATGTTGTATTTAAAACGTGCTATGCACTTTTCTACGCATTACATTTTCTACGATGGGCTGAGGTTCTGTACAGAAATAAAATTACATAATACTAAATTGACTAATACTAAAATGAATAACTGTAGACAGATTTCGACATAAAATCGTATCATTCTTATGTGCGCTAACATCTGCAAAGAGCGAAAAAACTAGTGAGTGCCATTCTATCTTAAAATGATTAGACAATAATGCTAAGATATGTACAGTCTTGTCTTTTTTGTGTACAACATTTTGCCGTAGTGGATCTAGGGTGTGGGTGTGTTTGTCTGTGGGTGGGGAATGGCCCAAAAATAGTACAAAGATGTTATGTGAAATAACTTACCAACGTAACACAAAGTAAACCAATTGAATTTAAAACCGAGAATATAAAAATGTCTGTAACAGAGCTCAAAGACACTTTTTGAATATTATAAAATTCACACGTTTTACGTCAAATATATTAGTGTTGTTTTCGAACCCCCTATTCAAAAGTGCTGGCTACGGGCCTGGTAGGTTCATACGTTGGATATACAACTCTCTTGGTGCCAGGTACGTAGGTGTATTTTGGTTCGTACGTTGGATTTACCGATGCCTTAGTATCAGGTACGTATGTTTTCAGTAGGTTGGTGTGATAGTTCTTGTGTCATCACACGCAATATATATACGTTTAGACTCGTACTCATGCTTTCTATGTATTTTACGTCCCGGTTAGTGTCGATACACTGAATTGAGCAATGGCGACGATTTTAGTGTTTGTTCACCTGTCTGCTTCCGCTTTACGTGTTTTGAGAATTAAATTAAAAGGGATTAATGTTTTAGGTTCAAGCCAGATGTGGTACATTTGACACGTTTAATTCTCTCCGATCAAATGACACTGTTTGTTACTGTCACCGCCATAATGTTTCGGACACCGAGACATCAGTATTGCAAGCGAAATTGGTGACAGGTTCAAACCATAATCAACAAGAAACGTCCAACCATAACTGAGAGACGAATTGTATATCAATAGTCGATGTCATCTCTTTTCTCAAGTTATTTTCACGCAATCGTACAAATTGCAGTATGGCAAAAGAGAAACATAACCCCAAAATATTTTTTTTTAATATGAGTGAAATAAATTGTTTATTTGGTTATTTCTATTCCCCAGTGCAGCATAACATTCCTACACTACTGGCCATGGTAACCAGTCAAGGAATTATGTAGCATCAACTATCCAATGATAAAACAAATAACACGGCTGTTACCATGTAACGATATTTTCATATTATAAGTGTTGCCACCTTAAATGCTCACTTGCATTCTTGCAACATCTCAAATGTTATACGGACAAAAAACGCCTATTATCACACGATAGTCAGCTGCAGGTACAATGATCTTTTTTACATTGGCGGTTCGTCATTTTAATTACTCTAACAACACCATTCGTATGTAGCAGCTTGACACTATAGGCCTTGTGGTGTTGAGGGTAGGTGCCACCCATTTCTGATGTGCGATATTATTGTATTGGGGTAAGTTGCATTTACTTTGAATAGGGCTACACTCTCAATGACTTGAAAGTCTTGTGGCAGAAATATTTACTATAGAATCAAAAGTTTCAATTATTATTTTATCAGGAATTAGAACTGTGACCGCCGATTTAAATTTGAGGTTATGTTATGCATAGTACAAATTATTAGTTACAATGGAGGAACGACTACGTAACCATATTATCCAGTTCATGCTACATAACGGCATTTTATTTCCCGCGATTGACTGTTTGACTGGTCGATTGATTGACTGATTTGTTGAATTTTTTGTTCTCCTTAACTCAATTGTTTTTATTTATTGTTTGTTTGTTTTTTTCATTTTATCTCTCTTGGTACCATGGTCGTGACGATGTACATGTAGCTGACAAGTACTCGCATCTCACACTGCAATAAAATGAGGACAGATACCGCTTTTAGGCGAACCATTGTTTTCAGTATGCTGGCCTTCACAACAATGATTTCCTGTGGTCTCGTGAACTTTGCGACAGACTACAAGTCTAATAATGATTTGGAGAATGTGCCAATTGAGGACGAAATCGTGGTGCACGACAATGTTAGGTCAGACCAACTGGAGATGAATTCAGACCGTGCCGCCGTAAGCATGGCAACCGCGCGTCCGTCTCGGATTGAGACACATAGTAGGTCGCCTTTAAAGCTTCATGATTCCGAGAATCCGAGTAAAAAAGAAAACGTGACTCGAAATGAGACTGAACACATTCGTATATTGATAGTCGCAAGGATGCAGACAGGATCAAGAGCTATTGCTAAATATTTTAGTACCCGTCCAGACTTCTTTTATGCGTACGAACCAGGGCATATGCTGTTAACGTATGCATTCCACGTTGCTAGAGGACAAGCTAAAGATGACAGACGCGTTAATCTCGAGAGAATTCAATTAATGCTCCGAGATTTCCTCCACGGTATCTATCATTGTAATTTTACAGACCATCCGTATTTTATGCAAGGGATGAACGCTCCAGTCGCACTCCACCGAATACACACGGCATACAGAGTCTCCCCCTGCCGATCAGTGAAGAAACATTAACAACCATTTGTAAATCACGACAGCATGTAATTTCGAAAGTAGTCCGGATCAACGACATATTCACGTTCGCGGATATGTTAAAAAACGATGAGGTTAAAGTGGTGGTCCTAGCTCGTGATCCTCGCGGCATGACGAGCTCGAGGCGTAAAGCATCATTTCCGCGTCGGGAAATATCTCCAAACGGAACTGTTCAATTACACCCCATACTAGCAGAGTATGTAAAAGAACATTGCGTTTGGTTAGAGACTAACTACAATGCGATAACAACAGGTCCCACCTGGCTACAGAAAAATTCCATTTTGGTACGCTATGAAGACATGACGATGTATCCGCATAAAGTTATACCCAATCTTTTCAACTTCGTAGGATTAAACGGCAACGCACACACTGAAGCAGATGCCGGGCACATTGATTCAATATCTAAGTGGCGGAAAAATCTCAAGTACGAAGAGGTGAAAATAATTCAGGACTTATGTTCTGATCATATTTACAAGATTTTCGGATGGCGAAAAGTGAGAAGCAAAATTGAGTTCGAGAATAAAAACTTAACATTTATTGATCCGATGCCAGGATCGCCTCCCGGCTGACGTATACTACGGGCGACCGTACAATAAAACACATTATTGTTATTGCTGTGTGTTATATATGCAAACATCTCACAGAAAAAATCTAATTCATTGTAGCACCAGACACATGAAGGATTAAATAACAAACTAAGAAATTCAGCATTGACGGGAGTTTGATCAGTAAAGACGATAGGTTGAGTGAGTTAATGGCGTTCTCTTGTACAAACACATTTAGTTAGAAAAATGGTATTACGACACTATAAACAACACGAGACTATAATAATATAACAAAGCTATTTAAATATATAATTACAATTTGATTTAGTGTCTTTTGGGAACGAGAAATGTTAATGATTATTTGAAATATGCTGCAATGAGGCGTGTTCAAATTTTTTTTGTAAATAGCCTAAATACGGCATTGTTATTATGCCACACGTTTTTAATTAAATTTTCATTTATTACAGTGTTTTAGAAAAAAAAAGGGTATTAAAATGTCTGTCCCGTTGAAATGCATTCTCACATGTAGGTCGATACAGTTTACAATTTAAATTTACCAAATCACACTACTTTTAAATCCCGTATAATCCGTGTATTTCAGCAATACCGTTTCATCAAACAGATTTTTAGTATGAATAAGGTTATACATTGCGTTTTATTTATGTTTGTTATATTTAAATTGGCTTTCCCTGTCGAATGATATACAAATTTGAAAATCTCTGAATTATCATTACTGTTAAACAGGCTTTAGTTAAAATGATAAACGTTCATGTGTCGTTGACGGCACAGCTGTTACTGATTCTCCCTACTGCCACTGGCAGGCTGTACTTCGGCAGATGGATTACAAAATGAAATGTACCATTTGTTGCGACAGGGTTACTAAGTTAGTAGGATATGTTACAATGCTTCCAAGTGCGCCCTCAGTAGCATGTTGTATTGTATTTGTGTTTGTGTTTTCATGTTTATACTGTTTGAGGGTGTATTTGTAATGCCAATCACATACTAGTATATACTAGAAAAGTAGACGTGAACTAATCAATCAATTGTAACGCTACCCTGTCGTCGTAGCAAGTCGTGATGCAAATAAGCTGTGATGTATACGACGTGTGTACACACAATTCTATGACGTCATGAGTTGGGTTCTTACATGACGTAAGAGATCGTTCAATACACTCTTGTCTTTTTTTTCGGTTTCTAAGCTCCGCGACCAATTCATTGGAAGGTTGATTTTTGTAGTATATTGGACTTTCTAATTGGCTGAAAAAAATGGAATCTGTCACGTGATGGTGGAAATTTAAATAAAGATAACAAAGCACTATCGAGAGTAATTTAAAGCGGGGAAGTCGTCACCTGTGCATGCGTAAGATGGCCATAGCGTGATATTGTTTACAAACAAGCGTCTACCCATGAGCCTTTGCGTTTTAGCGTGTGTTGTTATCGTCGCTTGGAACTCAATTCGAGGTGACGACCCTCCCGCTTTAAATATGAAGGCTGTCTGTGGACGTGGAAATCATTTCTGAAAAAAAATGAATATGTAATGACACCAGGGGCGGATGCAGAAGGTATATATTATTCTGTTCGCTTATTTTGCACGTCAGTCAGCGGTCAAAAACTGAAAAACTAACCCCTCTATATAATACCCCGGGTTCGATCAGCAAAATACAGTGTAAACCGAATAAAATAGTTGAACGACCGTCAGTTATGCATCTTTGCGATATGCTCTGTGTTGGGCGTCGAACTGTCCATTGTGCTGTTTGTTTTTGTTTTTGTTTTTTTTTTGTTTTTTTTGTTTTTTTTGCTACAGGCAGTTTACATTTGCGCCTGTTAATAAAATGTTTTATTTTCGTATACTCCGTAAGTAGAAAAGTTCGTTGAAAATTGCGTGTTCGCCAGAGAAGTGAAGTTCTTTCGAGTGAAACGAAATAGAACGAGAAATGAACATATATTTTACGTTTACCGCTATTGATGTTTTGGCCCACGTATTATGCACAATGCGTACTTTAAAAGTGGCGTACAGAATGTGACAGTCCAACGTCTAGCAGGGGCGTCTAGCAGCATGACAATTTCCCAGTTGAGTCGGAAATCTAGACAGGGTAATCAACAAGCAAGCTGTTATCTATATGTAGTGTCCCTGCAAAGCGCAAACCAAATATTCGACGACTATTTCTAGATTTTATCAGCCAAGAGTACATTCCGAGTGTCCAAACACTGCTTTTTCACATATTGTTTCGCTGCGTGATTGGAGTTATTAATATCGCAATAAAAAAGGGTAGATTGTTCTCAAAATGATAAGCGCAAACAAACATTGTTTTTTTCAATCTCCATGTTATCTCCAGGGTGAATCTGTATTCCGTCATACAAGACGTTCAGACATTCAGTATGTACACAATTAGGGGCGTTTTTTTAAAAGCAATGTTTGAGCATGGGTACCCATACATCAATTCGAGTGCCCCTAGACGTTTTGATCTCAAGCTGTTGATCATCATTGCGTGAGTACTTATTGCATTTTGTTGTGCTAGGTGAACATATTGTGCGGCTCTTAATTCGAAAATAAATTGATGGCAGTGTAATTTACTAAATTTGAAGCAACAACAATCTTCTGATTTGTAATGTACTAGTCGCGTGAATCGCGCCCTCTTCGGTTATACAATCACGAACGTTTCCGGTGAGGGCGTAATATGTCAAGCCACTTTCCTCTTTATATATTAAACAAATGTCCAAAATATCAAATTAGCTGAACGCCGCCGACAACAACAATCTGTTGACTTTTGTCGAAAGAGTATCATCTCAGAATGAATTTTACATTTGTCGATGGGTGTGGTGATTTTACAACAATGACGTCAAATAAACTTGTTCTGGTAGGCGGAAACACATATTACTGTATGCTCAATTTATTACAATTTCAATTCACAGTTCTCATTTAGAGTTTCCAACAACATCTTGATATATAATTAATAGGCTGATGGTGTGCTGTCTGCTCTCCTGAATTTCCCTGAAATTGGCGACTCAGTCTAACTACATTAATTAGTAAGGCTAAAATTAAATTGGACTTCTGTTAGAATTGCCAACTTTCTGGTCTGTGTTTTGCAATAATTAGTTTGACCGATCTTATTTAATTTGACCGACTATTTCCGCGAGTGAGATGAAGTGATCACATCTATTCTGTGATCAAATCTGTGCATATTATATCATTTTGTAATATATTTAGTAATATCACCACGACACGCGCCGCGAAAAAATCACACACGCCGCACATACGTATAGAATCCTCAAACTCAAAACATCAACCCTGTTCTCGGAAACTGTTGGTATTAAAGCGGGAGGGTTGTCACCTGCGCACGCGCGGGAATTGGGGCCCAAGCGACGATAACAACACACACTAAAACGCAAAGGCTCATGGGTAGACGCTTGTTTGTAAACAATGACACGCTACGCTATGGCCATCTGACGCATGCGTAGGTGAAGACTTTAATAATGGCCAAACAACGCTTTCGTGGTGGGGAGAAAAAGGCTGTTCGATTACGTCAGCTGCCGCTTACAGGCACATTGGAAGTTGCCACGACGCGTCTGGTCACTGACTCTGTATGTTTGGCGTACTTCATTTTCACCTGCTATGCCTGTCGTGGTGCGACTGGATTAGTACGCATTATATAACACAACTAACGAACGAGTAGACAAACTAGAGTGAACAACATGGCGGACCTGATGACGTAGTCAGACACCTCAGGGGCGGATCTAGGATTCTAGAATAGGGGAGCCGATAAGATGGCCTAAGGCCAAGTTCGCGAGTGCCGATGGCGCGAAGCCCTGTTGGTTGTTAAAAATATGGGGGGCCGCGGCCCCCTCGGCCCCCATCTAAATCCGCCAATGCACCTATATCACGTGCCGTTGAAACCTGCAATGGTTTATTGGTAAAAAAAAGTCGGTGTGTTGATAATGAAATACACAACTTATTTTAAATCTCTCGGCCATAATTTTATACATTCTTACCTTTATTATTGATCCCTAAAATGAACTCTGGATGATCATCAACAAAAATTATATCACGCGTTTTTTTTTTTTATTCTTGCCCAAAAAATTAATTTAACTAACCTTATTGTTGAGAAAAGATAAGGGGATTGTTTTCATTACACGGGTAGGATTAAATATCAGTGACACGATGGTACCACCTGTTACTGATCGGGACATGCTATCTGTCCGTGCATTATTTTGCACACTGAGGCTCAACTGCTGTAGTCTACGTAATTTGTTGAATTTGGGATACCGGTACCTTGAATATGCGATTGTTTTGTTGTATCCATGACTCCGTGTGTCTGAATTAAAATTGCAGTTTTGTTGGTGTAACAGTTAATAGACTGGCCTATGATTAAACATGCCCATCGGAATGAACACGGTGTCATAAATTCGAGTAGATTCTTGAGGTCGTCTGACTGCAATGCATAGTACTCTCACAAGTGATTCAATGTGAAACTCAGATTTATTACAAATAATTACCGCAGTCTGCATGAATCGCATTAATTACAACTAAAGCCGTTTGCATTCATGTCTGGCCGGACTGCCTTTAACCAACAACCCACTCTCCCGTCTAACACGTAGAATCCCCAATACCCCCGCTCCTAAAAGAAAAAAAACGGTCAAGTTTTCGTTGCAACTGCTGTACATGGGTTCATTACGATGTAAATTATTTTGGTCCGATGAGCAATTGTATATTTTTTTTTTTTTGCGTTTGAAATTGTCATTCTCCAAATTTGCATATGAGAGCGAACAGCTGTGGATTAAATTCGATCTATGCAACACTCCTCGTCTCATCTCAATTATATTCCAACGATCCATGACGACTGCGTTCGGCTTTGGTCTCATCTATGGGGTAGAATTGGTCATCACATCCTGACAAAAGGGTAAGTTCACTTCGTACTTGACGCTGGCGATTTTAAACACCTCGAGGGATAGGGGTACAGTTTGTTGTTGAAATGTCCCTGTTATACTGCATATTAAATATAATTAGACACATCTATGTGTCATAT